TCGAAAATGCAATAGTTAGTAGAGGATAAATTGGGGGATTGGATAAGCGTACCATTCATGAATTCATCTGGTCATATCCGCGTACCTGTCACAAACATCTACATAGCGGAGGCAAATATTGGGTGATTGGCTCTGGGCTCATGCATGAAAGACCTAAGAACTAGGCTCCAGAACAAGGGTTACCAGGAGCACATTGCAATATACTGCATATATGCAACTGATGTCTTATATGTTGTAAGCAAATTTAGGGTATTTGCTTAGCATGTCTGGTATCTTGTTTTCATTAATAAAGTACATTATACTGTCTATCTCAGTATTCCTCAGTCAGTGGACAGTCAGGCATTATAGTGTTTAGGAAAGTGCCCAAACGGCTGACCTCTTATTATGTATTTGGTTTGATAATTTATTCATGTGTGTGTGTATGTGTGTGTGTGTGTGTGTGTGTGTGTGTGTGTGTGTGTGTGTGTGTGTGTGTGTGTGTGTGTGTGTGTGTGTGTGTGTGTGATGTGTGTGTGTGTGTGACATACTGCCTACAGTACTTAAGGAACCCAATGAAAATAAGTCACTTCGTGACTTATAATTCACGACAGTATAATAATCTAAGTGATATGTTATTACGTAGGATAACTTGTTTAACTATTTACGTGTACCTGTACCTAAGTAAACTTACTTGTAGCCAAGCCTAAGCCTCCTGGCTACTAAAACATCAATCAGTCTGTTTACATTGCAATTTGCTCCATAAATATGCTTATCTATGGTCATGTTATCATAGTAATTTATAGATCTACTGAGGCTTTTAATCGGCATTCCTATAACAGACTTATTATTCACTTCTCTCCTAACATTATTCATAATGCTAGACAGACATACCAAGTTGTATTTTACATTTCCTTCAGGGTACTTTCTTAGGCAGACTTATCAACATTATCATGGAGTAAATCACTGTGTGATGTAATTTATAAGAATTGTACATTAATTCCTTTAGAGTGAAGCTGATGCCAGACTAATTTGGTGATGTAATATTAATTATATATTGTAAGAGTAAGTGCTTACTTGGAAAGCTAATGAAGCCCTCAAGCTGTAACTTAAAGCCAAAAGGAAAGCATTATTTTAAGTTCAGGCTAGAGATGGGAAGTAACAGATGCTGTGTCCATGACAACAATGTGTGTGTGTGTGTGTGTGTGTTAGGTAAGACACACACACACACATACACGCACGGTGTATAGAGCGAGTAACTCCATCGCTAGTGGTGTAATATGTTGATGTTCCCACAGTAGCAGTGTAGGACGTTGATACTCCCATTGTAGCACTGTAACATGTTGATGCTCCCACAGTAGCACTGTAACATTTAACGCTCCTACAGTAGCATTTGATGTGTTAACGCTCCTAGAGTAACACTGTGACAAGTTATAGCTCCTAGATGAGCAGACATCACTGCTAGGCTTCAAGATGTCACAGTTAGGCTTTAAGATGTCACTGCTTGGCGGTGATTACTACACTCAAGCTTAGACTAAAGGCAGTTTTCACCGCTACAATAAGACAAGGCTAAAATATGTTTTGGAGACCAAGACTAATCTACAAAATGTCTCAGCCAGGCTAAGACACAGTCACAGTCTAGACTTAAACAACTGAAGATGTAGTGGAAAAGACATGTACCAGTTCAGTTCCGGACATTTATTTGAGGAAATGTTTCGCCACTAGTGGCTTATGGACTGAGGGAGCCGTTAGTGGCGACACGTTTCTTCTGGTATATGTCTTGAACTGATATGTTGAAAGTGGTATTAAATACCGACAAGTTGATGATTAAGACACATGTGCAGCAGTTGGGTTCCTTCATTGATGAAACGTTTCGCCTACACAGTAGGGTTCGTCAGTCAAATACAGAGACAGCAGGTGTAGTAGTGAAATGATGTAATCAGAAATAGTATCTGAGGTGGTCAGTCCCTCAGCCTGGAGAAGAGTTCAGCTCCATGGTCTGGAACAATTTGAAACCAAAGCATTCTTCTTTGTAGAATCGCCGGTATAATCGCCCGGCCCGGGCCTTTTCCAAGTAGTGGCCCGGCCTTGGCTCCCTTTCGCGGGAGTGTCTCAGACCAATGTCTGCCATGTGAGGCGGTACAAGTACCTCCTCGTCTGCTGGGACTAGCTGTCTCCAGGCCTAGCCCCATTCCCCGCCCCCACGGGGCTCGGAGAGAGAAGCTAGGCACCTTGGAGTGCCACAAATCTCGCCCACATTGGGCTCGAAGGATGTGGCAGCTGCATAGCAGAAGACGATGTCAGGAGGTGCAAAGGCAGCAAGTACTACAGGATCCTTTTGGAGTCACCCCCAAATTTAGACATTACGTCCTTTTGCTGGGGAAGCTCAAGAATGCCTCTTGCTGTGAGTGTTGCTGCTGCTAGTTCACTTGTCCGTTGCACTCTCTCAGCTGAAGCATGAGAATGAAGTCCGAACCATGGAGCTGAACTCTTTTCCAGGCTGTGGGACTGACCCACCTCAAGT